TACCCATTTACAGCGCTATGTCAATCCACTGCTGGATGAAGGCCTCCCTCCCAAGCTGTGTCGGTGACGGGGGTTTGTTAATCATACTTCACCAAGCTGGGTAGTGCAGGTTAGTGAAGAAGGTGGGCCCAGGACCAGTTCAGATATCACTCACCATTGATGTTAGCCATGGCTGCGAATTAAACTCAGGTTACCAGCAAGTCTGCAAACCCATTGTGCCACCGCTCACACCTTATAACGCGGTATATGACCAATAAATGTTTCTGTACATGTACAGTACACATATTATGCATACACACAAATATTTAGGTTTCTATGCGCACTGCTCAAAGTACTTGGGCATGAATTTCGCAATTGCTGCAGAGCTCTAATGGCGAGATTTACAATGCTATCGTCGACTGCAGAACAGCTACGGAAACAAGTCCTGCAGCACAAGAGGGTTCTCGTTTGGAAAAAAAATCGAGAGCCGCAGTGAAGGGCATGCATCCAGACGCTTTATGCCAATGTGCTATATTTAACCTGACAAGCACCCACTGAGCTATATAGCTCTTTTTCAGAAGCGACCTTGCCACAAATGAAAGCTCAACGAAGTGGTTTATCATGTGGACATTTATAGCAGCCAAATACTCAAAGTCTAAACGCGTGTTTCTAAATGTGGAGGGGAAAAACCGGAGGACCCGGAGGAAAGATCCACAGGACCACGGGGAGAACATGCAAACTTCAAATGTAGAGGCATCGAACCCACGACCTCCTGTATACGAGGCTAAGTAGTTACATGTAGTGTATAGTTACATGTAGTGTATAGTTACATGTGGCGCATAGTGTTGGGTTACTTGAACGAAGTAGTCAATCTCTTGATTCACTTCTGATTACAGTACTGATTACTGGCAACTTCAGAAGTAACGTGACATACTGTAATTACGAATTTAGTATGTTCAAGGTAATGTAATCGGATTACGTGATTCATTTCATTACTTAGTTATTCTAATTAAATTTCATATAACATTTGACATGAGCACTGTTGAGTACGTATCGTACTCGGAAGGACAACCATCATTCATAAAACAGGTGTTGTTACTGTGGGACGACGTCGTGGGTAGTGCAGTAAAATCCATGGTACGTACAACACAAACATACTGACTCGTGTGGTGACGGGATTGACAAAATTGTGATGCATGCCTTCTACCAACAGTGGAGTAAAGAAAGCTATTTCACCAAAATTCTAATGAGAAATATGCCATGCGGACATTTATTTCCCCACCGTAGGATGCCACCTCCGAATAACTAAAAAAACCATGATACTTTCTCCTTTACCTCCTCTCTCAAGCCTGATGTAATTTATATATCCATCCATACTTCCTTCCCTTTGCATATCTATTCATGTTTTCCATCACACGTTCTCTCGTGCTTCTCAGCCATCAATAAACTCTCCGATTTCTTCCCTGTGCATACATCTTTTTCAGAATATTGTCTCCCTGCAACTTTTCTACGTACCACTCGCTCATGAAATTCTGCCTTTCCCCACATACATCACCTCGCTCCATGTCTCATTGCTCTCTACATCTAGCACATTAAGCCCTCAGTGCTGATGTTTAGCACACTGAACCAGCTACTGTACTCATTTTTGGCTGAGTAACCTAGGGAAAGCCCAAACCCGGTTTTGATACAAATGGCTATTGGCCTACGTGGTATAAAAATAAAACTGGGGTTGCCAGGACCATAAAATGTAGTGACCACTTTGCCACCACTGACACACATACACCTATAGACTAAAACTATGAACGGTCTGAATGAATGTTAATAACATTTTACGGGAAATACACCAATCAAATGATAGGGCTGTTTGCGCAAATTTTTATTAAGCCCCAGCAGAAGACGTAGTTATCCAAGCTGCACACAACATACACAATATTCCCTTTCAATGTAAACGCTTAAGGATAGTGAAATCTTTATTTCATACGTCCATTAGCCTCCTGAGAAAACATTAATGTACGTGTATCTGCTTGGCTAATGAGGCCTGCATAAACTTGCTGATATGGCAAATGACATGTATACATACAATTGTACATTAATGTATATGGCATGGTTATAGGTTAGGGAACCTCCATTAAGACAATTCAAATTAGGATTATTTGACATTTTGAGAACCAGATGATGCACTGTAAGCGTTCCATGTGCACTCATCTTTGGGTACATTCTTATGTTGTTTTTCATTATCAAAATACATTTTGCAATGCCATCATTTTCATCCCTGTCCACCTGCTGTGAAATATGGATTGAAAGAAACATGCTGAGAATTACACTGAGAGACATAACAAGGAAAACACGGATCAGAGAACAACTATAAATAGGGGACGCGATATTGAATATTAGGAAAAGTAAATTGGTTTATGCAGGACACATCTCTAGAAGGGATTATGTCTGATGGTTAACATTGGCAGCCAAAAGAAACACACTCAAGGCGATGGCGAAATGACATCAGTGCATGTGCATAAGCAAGATGTTTTATGGCATCACAAGACCATGAAGGATGGTGACAACTAGACCTTTATCTAGCAGTGGACAGATCATGCCTTTTCATAATGATGTGGCTGAGTAGCTTGGTGGTCAGTGTGCTCTTTCGTGAATGAGTCTTAAAAGTCAAACCAATCATCTGCTGCATCTCCAAACTAAAAAATGCTAGGGGGGAAACTGTAATGTGGACGTTAAATCCACCTTGGTATCATTGAAAAAATTGGCCCATATGTACATCCCAAATTTAACATAAACAAATTAAATGTAAAATAATAGTCTCCAAAGTAATTGTGCCAATCCCAAATATGCTTGCAAAAGCAAGTGACTCAAAAGGTATTCACCTCGATAGAATATGACAATGTCATTAATATACTAGGTGCAGTAAACTTTTATGAGTATCCATTAAATGGTAGGTTAATTGGAGTATGGCTTTGGTGCCCATGAGTACAAAACACTGCTTGAATTGATAATGAATCAATATATCAAGGCAGGTTAGAAGCTGGAAAAATGCAATAGAAAAAATATAGGTTTTGCTACAGCATACACTATAAAATATATAGTGTATAGATAATGCATTGCATGCTATATATATACACTACCTAGTGTATGCGGTTATGATCAAATCACACAGAATGTGCCTGATCTTATGACGTCAGAAGCTAAGCAGGTTTTACCCAAGATTGTGCTTGCATTTGCGAAAACGGAGGTTAAATACAGGAGTTGTAGCCCGTTGCATGCTACGTAGTCAGTAAACGGCAGTGAAGAAAAATTCCTCAACATCTATGGTCCTTGCCTTCAACAACCCAACGCAGATCCCTTGGTTTTGATCTTGCACCAAGCTCATTGTCCACACTCTACCGCGTCCGCACAAACCGTGGCAGATGCGGATACCCACACATGGACAATTAAACATTATCCAGTGTCGTGCGAATGTGGTCATCCAGAACTGACCAGAACAACGTATGACGATGCAATGCCCGATCCACAAATACGAAGGAGACATCACGGCGATGATACACTCCCCGCTGCTCCTGACGCGCTGGACCACCTGAATGTGAAATTGGAGTTGTTTCTCCGCATTCCACATCAGCCGTACGAGACATAAGCATAAGACCAACCCGCACAGACTGCTGCGTGGGGAGGAAGCCCTCATCCAGCAGTAGATTAACAATGGGCTGTACGTTAATGTGCAACACAGTACTGACCCCGAGAAACAGAATCGGCACCGTACGAGTCACATAACTTACGTAACACCCAGGACGGAAACTCTCTGTATGGTTACCGAGAGACTAAGGCGAGCCCTCATCCTTCCCACTAATATCATAGTTTTGTATCGCCTGTGGGCCTCTGCTCATTGTTACTGCATGTTGTGTGGAAGCATGGTGCATCGTATCATTGGTCACTATTTGGTGAATGCAGACTGCACCCATTCATACTCCCGAATTCTACTGTACATTGCATGCATACGTGGGGGTCCAATCCATACCCCATTATAATGCATGCGTTATCTGAAAGCCCTTCAATTTACCGTGTGCTTTGTTTATGTGCAATCACACAAACGCACGTGAAATATGACTACCAAATCAGTGGCTCTCTTTAGAAGCCCTTTAACAATGCGCTGTACCGTACAATCACTCTGGCGTGACTGGATTTCACGTGTTGCCCATATAAGTACAGTACTTGTATGCGCAGTGTGGAATCTTTGGGGTCATCAGTGGCGTTCCTTTAACTGACCCATTTCCTCCCCCCCGATACAGTTTCGGAGCTTGTACGTGCAAATTCTGATTTAATATATGTAACCTATTGCAATGCGTGCAGTATCTGTGGGGATCATCCTACATTTTGACAGCCATCTCTGCCCAGGAATCTCGCTCAGAGATAAATACATGTCTTGGTACAAACGGATTATCAAATGGAGAGGAGTGTTCCCAAAACACATTATTTCGTTCTCTCAGCTCATGCCTACACATCCCATCTCACCCCTGGCCCCCTCATCCCAAATCAATTACACCCCAATCCTAATCCACAATTCAAATCCCCATCCAAATTGTGTGGAATCCCATCACGCTTCCATGCGGCACAATCTGCGCGTGCACACTAACTATACAGGGTCTAATTGGGACCGCATCCTCGAGAACGCTATTCAGAAGTCGTGGTGGGCACATTCATGTTGGGGACGGCGCAGAAACGACGGCAATATATGTTATTGCGTCGCGTTATAGGCAGAGAGAGAGAGGCGGGGGGGAACAAGGTCACGAGCCGGGACCTGAACGTGGAGGAGCAATGGGGAAGTTGGCAGCACGGCGGGCACGGCGCGGGAAGGGAATTCCATTCCTCCTCCTCCTCTGCAACAGGCAGAGGAGAAGGAGGAGCGCACGACCTCTCACCGACGACAGCCTTGACGAAAAACCATTCCGAACCCTGCCCGCACCCACCCCTAAGCAAATATACCCCGTAGAGACCCCCACCCCCCCACCCCTCCTCACCTTTGGGTCCTTCTCGTAGTAGTACTGCTGCGTGCGGATCCACCTGCCCACCAGGTGGTCGCGGACGGCGTGCGCCAGGGCGAAGTAGTAGTCTCTGGTGGTCGACACGTTTCGGTCCTTGACGAGGGTGAAGTGCAGGTGTCGGTTGAAGCTCTTCTTCAGCTCGCCGACGCTCTCCACGCCCACGATGCCCCGCACGCTGATCTGCTTGCGCTTCTCCTGGTCGGTCAGTGGCTTAGACATGGTCGCTGCTGCTGCTGATACTGCTGCTGCTGCTACGATACTCTCTTACCTGTCAATCGAGAAGCACAAAAACACACTCGATGAGGGGGTGGCGGTGGGGTTTTAATTTAGCGGTTTCTGAAAATTATCTGTTGGAACGGGCGGGCGGGCGGGTGGGTGGGCAAGGTAAGGATTGTGGCGAGTGTTTGCGAATTGCTAGCGATGATCGTCTGTTGGTGGGGAGCAAGGTTAGTAATGTTGCCGTGGTGTGGTGTCTTGAGGAAGGCAGTGACTGACGGTGGAAGAGAGGAGCGGTTCTTGAGCTGCCGCCTGCTGCCCGAGAAAGCGTTGCAGACGCGGCTCGAGAGGCGGCGCGCGAGACGTCAACCCTCGCCTACTGACCACGCCCACCGAACACAGATCACGCCCACCGAACACTGACCACGCCCACCGAACACTGACTACGCCCACCGGACCCAGGACACGCCCACCCCCACCACAAAGGTCCCCCGTATAGCCTTAACAGACTGTAGGGGCAAGTGCTGTTAGCGACGAGGACCTATGAAGGCCGACACGGCGCAACGAGGGGGTGGGTGGCCAGCACCACGCCCGGCCGCCTTTGTCTCCACGGGTGGCGATGTTTAACGCAGCACACCGGGTACTCGTTTGAGGCTGAGTCGACCTAGGGGAGGCCCAGAACCGGTTCAAATAATCGTCGCCGGTGTTGGCCGTGAGCGGGAATCGAACCCCGGTTCAGCCAGGTTCGTAGCGCAGCGCGCTAACCGCTGCACTACCGCTCCCCACATCACCAACAACAACCGTCACCACGGCGCCAGTGCCAGGCTACGTGCACGTTAAGGCCACGTGAAGTGTCGAACGCCCGCTTGGCAAAGATGGCACGGGACAGGCCCAGCAGGTGCCATGGGTTGTCTGAGATGACAGGCAGATGATGCACACCACCCGTGCCCCCTACTGCGACACAGTTTTTCAGTTTCAGTTAATTTATTTTGGTATAGCCCTGTGAGCCATTCGGCTCTTGAATCGGGTGCAACCACAACAAAAAAACGAACAAGAAAAACATCTTAAAGTGACTTTGTGTGAGTGTGCAAACAGAAAATCCAAGAAAAAAACAGCAAAATATTCCTGAAAAAAGCACCGTGCACCAACGCTGCGTGCAAAAAATCCCAGTGGGATGCAAGTCAAACAACAACAGTCTAACTCCGTACTACAACAAAACAAACATGTCCAAACCAAAAAACTTTTCGAAATCACCAAAAAATAAAGCCATAATTGCAACGTAACAGCGATCACAGGGACTGTGACCGAATTTTTTACAATAAACTACATAAATAACATGTAACACCAAATCCTAGAGCCATATCTGGCTGCATGAGTTACTCCACAACGACAGAGGCATCAGTCGGAGTATCAAATTTTTCAATGCACCTTTAAGATCAGCACGCTAAATCAAAATACAGATAATACTTTGCAGCGTCATCCGGAGCGAAACATTTTATTTTATTTTACGCCAATGAATAGCAGTGGCAGCTAGGGGTGTACAACTCCTCTAGAGCAGTCTTGGGAGAAGATCTCATTGGTAGCGATTCAAGTTGCAATTTATTGGCAATAGCATTCCAGACCCTGGGGGCATCAATAGCAAAGGCCCTTCCTCCAGTTTTTGTACGGCAATAGGGAATGTGAAGCTGGTAAATGAGCGAAGACCTGAGGTCAAATTTGTTCTTTGAAACAGAGAGGAGATCCAGCAGGTAGTCTGCGGATTTTTTTTGTAAGTACATCGTGAATCAATAAGATCTGGTGCACAAGCCGTCGAACATTAAGAACATTAAGAGACACAACCAAACCACCACCTCCCTACCCCGTTCCCACCGCCTAGCAAAGACAAAGAACCCCCTGGGGCAAGTGATGTTAGCGAGCATTCCATGTGAAGGCCGGCACGGCACACGAGGGAGTAGGTGGCCAACACCACGCCCGACCGCCTTTGTCTTCCTCCCGTGGCGATGTTTACTACACACCGCACCAGGTACTCGTTTGAGGCCGAGTCGACTTAGGGGAGAAGGACCCAGGTGTTGTTGAGCCGTGAGCGGGGGAATCGAACTCGGGTTTTTGCCGGGCATCATAGCGCGGCGTAGCGCTGACCACTGCGCCACCGCTCCTCAGTTGTTCTTAACCTTTACTGCAATCGTAACAAAAATGTTACAATGTTAATACACCCATAGGGTTGAATGCGGTAAAGTAGTTGTACTTCGGGGCCGTCCATAAATGACGTCACGCGATTTTGGATGATTTTTGACCCCCCCCTCGTCACACGGCGTCACAAAAAGACAGACTCCCCCTCAAATATGACGTCACAAAGCTCCCCCCCCCCCAAAAAAACATTTCCATTTTGAAAATAAAACATGCTTAAAATCGCTTTAAACTATTGTCATTGTAGTGCGTATTTAATGGTGTAGGAGTGTTGTTATAACAATTCTATATTTTTTAAAAGTTGCGCATTTTGATGTGACGTCACATTTCTCACCCCCCCCCCCCCCTCTCGTCACACATCGTCACAAAATTCTGACCACCCCCCCCTCCCTCTAGGTGCGTGACGTCATTTATGGACGGCCCCTTACGTGCCCGTGCTTAATTTGCGTTTCGATGATTTACCTTCTAAAAAAAAAATCTGCCCACGTCTCGCACCCCCCCATGGGGTCCGGTGCACCCCACCTGTAGAACCACTGCTCTGCGCTCCCCCACCACCACCATACTGTGTCCGTGCAACGCCAATCACCTGGAAGCCCCCCCCCGCCCATCACCATTGGACACCGCCGCCTCCCATCGACTACAGAGAGTTGGGGGTGGTGCGGGGGTGGGGGTCCCTCCACGCTCCTCGCGCGCCACTCGCCCAAGGCCCCGCCCCCACCGGCTCGTGTCTTCGCGTGCCCAGGGGGGGTGGGGGGGAATGTTCGCTCGGCTCTTGAGCGCGCAACTCAGAATCAGACTACGGGGAGTCCTCTACTTACGAACGAGTTAGGTTCCAGAGGTCTTGGGTTTGATAGCGTAAAAATATAAATGTGTCGTTAAACCCGCCACTACCCGACACAGCCAATTAGTAAGGGTTGTCACGTAAACAGAACGTGCCAATTCATCACTAGTACAGCATCACCGGTGTGTGTTGGAGAACCGAGCCACAACATTTACAATCTGAATCCGACCTTTCACCAGTAATTACAACTAGCTTCATCAGGCGACAGCCAGATTTGTGAAGAAGTCCGGCAGTTTCGTTCCTTATATAGTCGATTCGTCCGTAAGTCCAACTTTACTCCCGTCGATTCCCAAACACGTTGTTACGGCGTGCACACAAAACACGGCGAATGGATTTAAAAGTTGTATAATCTCCTGTAGATGTAGATGCCGCTGGTTCTTCACGTACTGCAGATGTAGATGCCACCACCGCAAACTACTGCGCGGCGGTTGAACTTACGACTCTCGGTCCGAACAGGCAACTCGACATACGGACCAGGTTTGTTCGTATCTCTGAATGTTTGTAAGTCGAATGTTCGTAAACAAAGGAGTCCATGTGTTTATTTATACTGAATTCGATGAGCTATAAACGCTATTTTTCACAGATTTCCAGTAGGGGCGGGTAAGAACGTTACAACAACAATATAAAACAGGACAGGAGTGCAAAGTACAAGAAGGGTTAAGTATTCTTAGCTCTTTCGGTAAAGTCACGTTGAAGGGAAACAATAAAAAACGCATTTATTTATTTAAAGTTGCGCATGTTTCCCTTCAACGTGACTTTACCGAAAGAGCTAAGAATATGAATTACTGCAGTCACGAAAGCTTTAAATCAAAATGTAAGGGTTAAGTAATCACCAAAACACATACAAATACAACTAAACCACCCCCATCCTATCAGGCAAAGCCTACTCAGGTATTAACTTCTTTTTCAGAAGTGACCTGGCCAACATGCCTCTGTTCTTGCCTTAAAAGGAAATAAACATGTAATAGGCAACGTTTGGGGCAATGGGCCATCTTCATAGCACATAAAATGGTACGGTACCACCAAGTAATGTGTTATTTCACGATACAATACTGCGTTGGCAGTTGGGCCCAGGCACATACTAAAACAAATCAACTCGTTAACACTTTCTTAAAATGAAAATACAGTATCTAAAACAATATGCTGTATATCTTAGGCGACGTTTCGGGCAATGGCTCTTGATAGCACATTAAGCGACCAGTGTAATGTTTCTTGCCAAAGCCTCCATTCGCCTTCACGTGTGATTGCATTTACTATATCTCTTACCTTGTAGGGACATTCTTTGCTCCTTCCTTTCAAGGTCTATGTCCCAGTATTTAAAATCCCATTAAAAGCCGCTTCCAGCCAGCATATGACCCCAAGTGCCAATGTACGACCACTCTGCATTAAATAAAGAGGTACCACTACATACTCTTTGTTTTTTTCGGTAAAGTCACTTAGATAAAGCAAAATAAATAAATGAAAACAACTAAAATGAAAACAACTACGTGACTTTACCGAAAAAAAACAAAGCGTATGAATCCTTGCAGTCACGAAAGCTTCAAATCTAGAAGTACCACTACACGTAACATTTTAATATTAGCTTCAGCTAATGCTGTTTCAGGTCAGGCCTGTTCAAGGTCAAAGACAAAATAAGACCAAATAAGGCCAAACAGAAGCCATGTTAAGGCGGAAGCTTTGTGTTAGGATAAGGGCTTGAATTGTTAAGCTTGTAGTATGGGCTGATTGTCGCGAGTAAGGGTACATTCACAAGCATTGAATTCAGGGAAAAGGCTTAGGCATTTCAAAATTGAGGCTAGAATTTGAACTGTTATGATTAGGCTTAATGTCCTTGTGGATAACGCACCAGATATAGCTTGATAGACCCAAGGAAAAGATCCTGGCATGCTGGATTACAGCAAAATAATACTGCATATAGTGAGGGGTATGCTTGTTATGATTAAATGCGGGGCATGTTAAAATACATGCAATGATGTATTGATTAATTAAAAGGCTTTCGATATGACAATCCATCTCGTTTCGGCAGTCATAGGGCCCGGCTGTAGTGGACATGGGTACAGTATTTCTCCATCCTGACCTGACTCTTAGCAGTCTGGCTACACGAATGCATTACTTTAATCGTATCACGATTATATCTTAATTTGATCCATACGTTGAGTCCACGAATTTGAAATGTTGATTACACTTTACTTTAGTGGCATGCTTACCCGATTAACTTGTCTATTGATATGCACTTTAGGAAATGCGTCTAACTAACCAGGTGGCTCAGCAGTAGAGTGATTTGCAATTGGAAAGGTTGCGAGTTCAAATCCTTGGTTGGGTTTGACTCATCCCATCATGCCTCTGTGGTCTGTAAAATAGTACCACTTTATGGGGAAGTAAACAATGGTTAACCTAC